TCAACATCTTCTGAATACTGAAATTTCAATTATTGTCATAAAGATACTGTCATAAAGAATAATAATACAATAATAGAAGATGTAGTAAGAGATACTTTTTTTTCTCCATTTAAAATACTTACAAGTTCATTTTCCAAAATGAGTTTCAAGATTCCAGCTCTTTGATGAGAATTCTGATAAAAAAAAGAACATAAATTTAAATATTTCAAAAGAGTTCAAACGGAATTATTAATGAGATTGTAAGAAAAATATTAAATATAATCGGACAGTTCTTAAGCCCCTTATATTGCACTCAATTTAATTTTAAAATTATATCAATACATTAAAATATAAGTTTAAAAATCGAATGAAATTTAATAATTGACATGCAAGTTTAAAAAGGTTTTGAGGGGAAAAAAATACAATTGAATTATAAATTTAAAAAACATACAAGAGTTCCAAGAATTTGTAAAAGAATAATTTAGAAATCGTGCAAACAAAAACATTCTCAAAATGAAATTAAGCTCAGAAATACATTTTGTACTAACTTCATTTCTATCTAAAAACATTAATTTCAAGATTAAGATTGCATTATTAAGGTGTAAGATTTAATGAGAAAAATTTAAGAGAACAAACTTTAGAGTTTTAAATGTATCTGGAAGTATTGCTTAAGGTCATTCAATTAAAAGCAAAACTAAGTAACTCAAATGAGCAACTTCTACTGTACAAAATAAATTTCCAGCTGAAATCAAATGAATTTTTCAAAATCATGTTTTCATAATAAGATAATGTCGTCATAATAATAAAAACTGTGTCCATGTAGCTTTTACACATTCTGAATTTTAAAAAAATCTACCTATATTTAGGTACTATATAAGATATTTCAAAACAAAATCGATTAAGATTTTGTACATAAAATACTATTAAACCAAAGTGGAAAAATTGGAAAAACCTATATTGCACACAACATAGTTTCTGTAAAAATAAAAACTAAACGATTTAAATAATACCATAAAATATAATATAACATTATAGAAATATATGTAAGTAGTTTCAATGATTTCTGAAACAAAAATTGAATCTAAGTAAATTTAAATTGCTTTGGAATTAAGATATTCAAATTTAAGCAAGACTTGAAATTTCAAATAAAGTTGTTAAAAAAATAGAGTTAATCTATAGGTATATATGGTTACATAAATATCGACCGTATTATATATAAGTGAAACAAATATAAACTAATAGTCCAAGGTATAATCATCATACATGAATAATTTAGAATTAAAAACTTGATTTAGTGCAGATGAATATACTGGAAACAAAAATAATAAACTAAGATATATATAAATAAATAATTTGGCAATTTTAAAACTATTTTTACAAATTGCAAAACTTATATTTATAATTTAAGATAGCAACACCATATGTTGATGAATCGGTGGATATTAAATTAAGTTTCCTAGAAAATATTCTAAGATAGGTTCACAATAAATCATACATTTTTATTACACTTCATTTTCTTCAATTTATCTTTCGAATTCTGTTATTTTAGAGACACCAATTATTTCAAACGTACAAGGATGAGTAAAAGTCTAAAAAAAATTACCCTGAAATTTAAAATGCTTAATCTCAATGTCGTTGAGAACTTTTAATATCGACAGGATCATACCTCCCAAGGTATCTTTTCATAGACCGCTGCATATGCTTAATCTAACCTTGCTATTATCAAACTAAACCAAAAAAAAAAAAAAAAAAAAAAAAAAAAAAAANGGCATTCTCCGCAGAATTGCCTTGTCTACATCTTGTGGTCGATTAGTTGCCCCCATTACAACAACTTGACAGTCTGGATCAGTAATAAGACCATCCCACAAACTCATGAATTGTGCCTTCATCATAGCTGTAGCTTCATGATCGAAAGAGTCTCTTGACCGAAGAAAAGAGTCTATAAAATCAGAATAAGTTATCATACTCTGCTGTAATAAACAAGATAAGCAGAAAAAGGTTTCAAACAATATAATATATAAGCATTGAAGATATTGACAGTGTTTCCAATTGCAATGCTTCTGAAAGTAGGGATAATGTGCTGAGCCCTTTCTAACCATGAAGGTTGTAATGTAAGACATACTGGAATTCATCGATAAATGGAAAATATACCGTGGAGGGGAGGCACTTTAAGGGAAAAGGAGTGAAGCAAAGGTTTTCAAGAAGGATGCATGCTACTAATGAATGATACTTGAAGTGTAGTAAGACCAACAATATACCAAAGTGGGGAAACCCATAAAAAAAAAAACAGTTTCATAACAAAAGAGAATTTTCCAAGTGGTTAAGCCTAGATACTGTTCGTGTAATCGCTGAGTACAGGCCACTTTAAAAGAGTACATTACAAATTAACACCAGATTAAGAAATAAAGCATTAATCCTACCCTCCTATAGTCCAGATCAGTTTCACGTGACTTACACATTTTAGGAAAATCAAAAAACCGTTGTCAGGACATCTAAATCAAAGAGTATGGCAGCAAGTAAGTCAAGTTGAGCACAAATTATATATATACATATATAATTGACATGTTGGAAGTGCTCGAATAACAGGCATCCTTTTCAAGACTTTGCCGGTCGTGAATGAAAATAAACTTTTTTTCTCTGCTCATTCAGGTCTGGCAAGTCTTGAAAATAGGTGGCTGTTTTGAGCGCTTGAAAGATGTTAATTGCAATTTCTAATTTATATATTTTTGGAACAAATTAAGTTTTCGATCAAGAAATATACTACTATTAAAGTTTCCTGGGATTATTTATTCAAGATTGAACAACTAGTATCACAATAGGATATATTGGCTTATGAAATTTATTGATTGTACCCAATAATTGAAATATTTTAAACAGTAAGCAATTTGAAACTATTTAGATACACTACACAAATATCAAGATAGGGAAACAAAATATATATATATATGAAAAAAATATGACATACCAATTTCATCAATAAAAATGATACACGGCTGGATTTTAATAGCCTAAATATGAAAGAAAAGCATTAGAATAACTTCATCACTGCATGAAGGGAAAAATAAAAAAAACAAATAGCAGATTTACAATGTATTTTATAATAAAATATGTCATAACATTAAATAAAAAATATGATCAAACTCTAGTGTATGAACAGTATAATGAAAATATTGAACTAACAAAAAAGTTTTTTTCTCAGTTCATCATAATTAAATGACGAAATCTCAGAAATCTCTTGCTATTAGATATTAAAAAATAACATAAAAAACTGGCATTGTTATTATGCTAACGCAAACAGGGTGTTTCCAAAATGTTATGATAGGGAGCATCCAAAGATTAAGAAATGCATAATGGTAAATCAAACAGAACTTAAAATATTTACTGAACAGTTAGTTTTAAAAGTTTTTTTTTTTTTTAAGAATGCTAAATTAGGTTTACTTTGACAATTTTCATACATAATTTTGAAGCTTAAAAAAAAGTTTAAGATTTTAGCGCATTGCATAGAATAAGAGATTGTTCTGAATAAACAGCACTGTTTCCATAATAAATAAATAAATAAATAATTTTTTTAATTAAAAACGTGGGTCATTAAATGTATTAGTAGAGTTCAGATTAGTTATAATTTAAAAAATAGTAGTCAAATTGCAAACATTTTGAATCAAAAGTTACTGTAATAAAATGTACTAATCTTTAAAGGCTAATAATAATCTGGCAGTCCATAAATAAACAGTAATCTATTGACATAAGATTCCTTTTAAGGTGAATGTCCATAAAGGAGGAATTCTGGGCCACTCTTTATTCAGGGTGGCCACTCAAATCAGATTTCAAATTTCCCTGATTTTTCCAGGTTTTCCAGATAAAAATCTTAAAATTTCCAGGTTTTTGTTTCTTTTTTCTTATAAAGTATAGGATGTGTACAAGAAAAGTGTCTATATTATAAAATATTTTATTCAAAATGTTATTTTTTTAACATATCATCTTGAAAAAAATAATTTATTTTGACAATTTTCAAGATTTTTTATTTATTTTTTAATGTTTTGGCACAAAATTTTGAATCAAAAATCATATATTGACCAACAAAGGAGCCTTTTTTGTTTAAAATTAAAATATGTTATAAGAGGTTAAAATGAAATAGAAAAAATTAGCATTAATGCAACAATTGTAAAAATTTGTCGACAAACATTGCTGTTAGTGATTGTAAAAAAATGTGTGATTGGTTGGTTTGCTCAGAAAAAATAATTCACAGATTTCTTTGAATAGGAGTAGAAAAGCTTTCAGAAAAAGAGTGCGATATAAAATCTATTATCATAAAATTATAACCAACTAATTTTTGGAGAATTTTATAAAGTTAAAAATACAAAAATATTTTGTCAAAATAGAGAAAAAAAATAACCACCAAAGCATCGGAACAAACTTGAGCCATAAATGGATTTAGCCCAAGGACAGAATTTAAAAACAGAAGCTAATATCCTAATTCCCTTTTTCCACCAGAATCTTACCTAAATTTTCCTAAATTCCCATAGCGGTCAAAAGTTTGCACATTTGTTTAGCAACCGTGGAAGAATTTTATATGGCATTCTAGTTTAACAGAACTATAATGGAGCAAATTTTGATGCAAGCAAAGTATCGCTAAGTTGATGATATTTCAACTGTTTGGCGATACATTTCCGTTAAAAAAAAGTGGGTATAATGGATGAAATAATTTAAATTAAGAAAATTAGCAAATAATTTAAATTAGTGAAATTTGAAAAATCATCAAAGGAAAATTTCCAGCTTTTCTTTAAAAATCCCTGATTTTTCCAGGTTTTTATCCAAATTTCCCTGATATTTCCAGGTTTTTTCCAGTATAAAAAAATTCCCTGATAATTCCAGGTTTTCAAGGTTTTCCAGGTGGGTGGCCACTCTGTTATTAGGTGGTAAATAATGGTCTTTAACTCTTTTAAGCATTAAAAAATGTTTTTACAAAACTTAATTATGCCAAATCATCCTTCAAAAAACAATGTAACAATGCAGCAAATAAGAAAAGAAAAAATAAAGACTTTTTACACCACTATAAAAACATTTTTTAAAAAGGAAAAAAAAAACATTTTTTTTTCATATGCGGTTATTTATTTTTGTGTAAATAATACTAGTATTTACTTTTATTATAGATACTTTACTATAATATTATATTACACTTAAACTGCAACTTTATATTATATTTTAACTGTAACCATTGTTTTTATTTAACAGTTTCCTACAAATTGAAATTTTAGGTGTATTTTTTATTCATTTCTGTGTAAATATTTTATGTTTAAAAAATTCTAAAGTTTAAGCAATTTTTCGACCAATATGTTTCTCATCATACACATATTCTACATCTACAATGAAAAATATTTTTAGCCAAAACCTATTTAAATATAAATAGTAATTCTAACACAAATATCAATTTTATTATTAGTTATGCAACCATGTAGGTAATCAAATTATGTTAAGTAGTTACATAGGTATGATTAGAAATTGCAGGCAAATAAAGGATTTAGTAAAAATAAAGACATACCAGTGTAAATACAGCAGCAGCTAACTTTTGGCTTTCTCCATACCATTTATCAGTAAGTGCAGACACTTCTAAGTTAATGAAGCGAGCCCCTGATTTTAAAAAAAAAAATGTAATTTAAACAAGCATTTTATTTTAATAATACAATAATATACAAAGGACGAGAAAAAAAACAATCAGCAAAGCTATTTACACAGTAGAGAGAAATAAGAAAATTAATTTTAAAAAAGCAAGAGGTATAAAGAATTTTTTTTATAATTATTCAATAAAAAAAAATACAAAAGTATAAAATCCTTTCAATCAACAAATTTTTTCACACTAACATTGTTGATGATTTATTTGAACTGATCGAGAAGAGAAATTTGGTAAAAAATACAATTGCTCAGGCATACTATTGTATTTTTTTCATTATTTATAAATGAACAAAGCATAAAAAAAAATTTCACTTCTTAAAAAAATTGCATTTTTTTAATCCAAAGCCAAAATCATTTCGACATAAGCAAGTCTGAAAAATAGTCTTTTTTGGAGATAATAGGTTGTTATGAGAAAAATGATCAAAACATGCATTATTTAAAAAACAAAAACAAAAATTAATAATAAAGGATAATAATATTAATGTAATAAAATCAATATTATTGATGAAAAAAATAGAGAAGGATATGTAAAATTAAAGTTGCTAATAGCATTAAGTAAAAGTTAAAAAATATAATTCATGTGATAGGATATCAAGTTTCTAATCCAAAATTACTTTTGAGTTCAATATTTTTCATATAGATGGTACTGCAAGTCTCTTGTACTATTTTTACAATTGAGTATGCACGAATTTCTAAGTTCATTAAAGTATGCAAGTTTTGTCTTTTGGTTATGACATGTACTTATGCCTGATGGTAGACATTTCATTCATTAAAAGATTTAGAAAAATTATAACATAATTTTTATTTGTTTTTCTTTATTTACAATTACTATTAGCATACTTTAAACTAAAAACAGGAATTCTAACAAAAAAAAATGTCTGCCCTATAACATGAATTTGCTCTGAAAATTCTTTTTTTCACATTAACCGTTTTTTGGTAATAAATTTTAAAAACTGTCAGTTTAATTTAAGACACTCTACATAACTTTAATGTAGCATATCCCACTGAGGCAACTTAGACACTAATACTAGAATTGCATGATTGATTCAAATATATCATATCATTCACCATAAAATATAATAAGTATAAATATATAATTCACCATAAAAATAATAAGTGGTAGATATATCATGGAACACAATCCCCTCCCAGATTTCCAGAGTATTTTACATGTCAGGAAAACTTCAACTATAGAGGATACAATCACCTACAGTTGAAGTTTTTCCAAAATATTCTACATTAATAAAAAAAATGATGTTATACATATAAAATTGTGAAGAAATTTTAATTACAAATTATCAACTAATCAATAACAAATCAAGGCCTTTAACCAGAATCTTAAAGAATCAGTTTTCAGAAATTCTTAAGTTTCGAATATTAAATAGGTAAATCCTAATTTTTTTCCTTTTTTCTTTTTTAAATCCTAAAGTGCTTATTTATCCATTTATGAATGAAATCTGGGTAGATTTCTATTTCATTTTAAATAAATTTGAATTGTGGGTCGTCTTATTACTTTATCTATTACTATAGATTATTACCTGTATATTTTATGCAGTGAAATAATTTTAAATGCATTGTAATGATTAATTTTTGATAATATTTTCATTATAATTTTATTCATACAGTTTTAACTATTCTGAAATTAAGAGTTCTTAAAGTAACTTTAAAATTTTTTATTTATATAAAAAAAAAAATTCAAAATAAAAAGTA